TAAGAGGATTTGTTCTGTAAATTTTGGATTCAGTCAGAAGGCCGCACTCAAGGATCCAGAAGGTCACATGTGGCCCCAAGGCTGCAGGTTCCTTACCCCCAAAGGTTTTGTAACCTCCTTGCACTATAATAAATCATAGCCATGAGTGCAACTATGCTGAGTTCTGTGAGCCTTCCTAACAAACCACCAAACCTGGCTTGGCGCCTGTGGCTCAAGTGGCTAAGGTGCTAGCCACATACACCTAAGGTAGCGGGTTCAAATCCAGCCTGGGCCCGCCAAACAACAATGATGGCTGCAACCAAAAATAGCCAGGCACTGTGGCGGGCACCTGTGGTCCCAGCTACTTGGGAGGCTGAGACAGGAGACTTGCTTGAGCCCAGGAGTTGGAGGTTGCTGTGAGCTGTGATGCCGTGGCACTCTACCCAGGGGGAGAGCTTGAGGCTCTATCTCAAAAAAAAAAACAAAAACAAAACCCAAAAAACAAAAAACCCCCCACCAAACCCTGGGGGTGGTCTCATGAACCCCTGACACTCTTTACTCATACAGGAACTAAAGGCATGAACTACTAAGGTAATTTTTTTTTTTTTTGAGACAGAGCTTCAAGCTGTCCCCCTGGGTAGAGTGCTGTGGCATCAAAGTTCACAGCAACCTCCAACTCCTGGGCTCAAGTAAGTCTCCTGCCTAAGCCTCCCAAGTAGCTGGGACCACAGGCACCTGCCACAACGCCAGGCTATTTTTTGGTTGCAGCCATCATTGTTGTTTGGCGGCCTGGGCTGGATTTGAACTCGCCACCTTAGGTGTATGTGGCTGGTGCTTTAGCCACTTGAGCCACAGGCACTGAGCCTACTAAGGTAATTAAAACAATTTCTTTTGTATTTTCAGTTTACCTCCTTTGGTCAGTTGATAAAGATACTTCCCACATGTTCTAAACATCTAAAAATATAGAACTGAGATACCTAGAAGTCTAAAAATAATTTCATTTTTACAATATAGTATTGTGAATAAATGATAACTCTTCACATCTCAGAATATTACATAATTAATTTTTTCATGAAGATATGTGTAAAAATAAGTTTGAATTTTCTCTATTTTCCCCTTGTACTCCAGTTACACTGCTAAAACTATGGGTAGATACTAGTCTAAAAAGACTTTTAAAATTTGCCATGTCAGTTATTTATTCAGAATACTTCTAAGTTCTGGAAAAAGCTTGACATGCTTTATAAGAAATTTCAAGCTTAAAATACTTTACAACCTTTACTAGTCTTCAAAATGAAGATTTTAAAAAATTTTATTTATTTAATTTTTTTTTGAGACAGAGCCTCAAGCTGTTACCCGGGGTAGAGTGCTGTGGCATCATAGCTCATAGCAACCTCCAACTCCTGGGCTCAAGTGAGTCTCCTGCCTCCGCCTCCCAAGTAGCTGGGACTATAGGTGCCTGCCACAATGCCTGGCTATTTTTTGGTTGCAGCCGTCATTGTTGTTTGGTGGGCCCGGGCTGGATTCGAACCCGCCAGCTCAGGTGTATGTAGCTGGCGCCTTAGCCACTTGAGCCATAGGTGCTGAGCCCAAAATGAAGATTTTAGATCTGAATTACTGTTTTTCAGTTCTGGTAGAAAAGAAAAATTAGGTTAAATGACTTATTAGAAGTTATTTGTTAATAGAAAAAGGAATAAAAACCAAGGTGTTTAGACTAATAGTCTTTTTTTTTTTCAAGACACAGTCTCCAGCTGTGGCCCTGGGTAGAGTGCTGTGGCATTACAGCTCATAGCAACCTCAAACTTCTGGGGCTCAAGTGATTCTCTTGCCTTAGCCTCCCAAGTAGCTGGGACCACAGGCACCTGCCACATGGCCCAGCTGTTTTTTCTTTTTGTTGCAGTTGTCATTGTTGTTTTAGCTGGCCTAGGCCGGGTTCGAACCCACCAGACTCGATGTATGTGGCGGTGCCCTACCCACTGAGCTACAGGTGCCAGCTAGACTCATATTCTAACTTTTACATATCTTGATAATATTTATACACAGCAAATACAATTAGTTAAACAAAAATAGAGTCAAATAAAGAAAAAGTATCACACCAGCAATGTTGAAGATGTCTGTTATCTTTTCTAATAATTAAGGAATATTTTAAAAACTTCTCTCTTGAGTGATGTAGTATGTGTTATATAATACTGTAAGGTTTAAAAGAAGGAGTAAGACTAGCTTGCAATTTTGTAGGAGAGATTCAGTCAGTCAATCAAGGAATATTTAATAAGCATCTATAATATGAAAGCAATGTGCTCAATGCTCTAAGAAAAATACTCCAAAATACAGAACATACCAAAGATGAGGAAAAAATAGAGAGCCAAGGAATTCAAAGGAAAGAAAGGTCATATCTCAATGTTTATGTGCAGAAGATGGATATTGAGGAAAGGTCAAATAGAAAAAGTGATATTTGGAAATAAGTTATGAATAATAGGCACAATTTAACCACATGAAATAGCTGGGGGAAGTAAAGAATGTTGCAAGAAGATGGCAGCGTCTATAGGTCAGTGGGCAGGGCGTTGGCCACATACACCTGGGCTGGCAGGTTTGAACCCGGCCCAGGGGCAGCTAAAACAACAATGACAACTGCAACAAAAAAAAAATAGCTGGGCATGTGGTGGGTGCCTGTAGTCCCAGCTACTTGGGAGGCTTAGGCAAGAGAATTGCTTAAGCCCAAGAGTTTGAGGTTGCTGTGAGCTGTGACGCCATAGCACTCTACTGAGGGTGACATAATGACTCTGTCTCAAAAACAAAACAAAACAAAAAACCCCAAAAAACAAGATGCAGGTTGTTGGAGTTGATAGAGGATTTAATCAATTTATATTTGAATATGTTAAGTTTGAGAATATAAAATATCTAGATGGAAATATTTAATAAAAAATTGGAGATGCCTGTCAGGAATTCCAAAGAGAGATTACAGATGCAGAAATAAATGTAATAATTATATGCAGAGAGATAATGACTGAAGATATGAGAGTGGATAAGATTTCCAATTGATAGAATAAAAGAAAGAAGATAACTCATAAAAAGTACATTTGGAGACTAGGACAAAGAAGAGGAGGTAAAGACAAAGGAGAAGAGAGGCATAAGATCAAAAATATTGAACTGTCATGCACCTGAAGAGTTGCAAGAAAAAAGCATTGACAACAATGTTAAATACTTCAGAGTAGTGAAAGATAAAAACATTTTTGGAGATGATCACAAGAAAGTCATGAGTGAGTTTTGGGAGAGACAGAGATCAGTATACAGCAGGGGTCCTCAAACTTTTTAAACAGGGGGCCAGTTCACTGTCCCTCAGACCTTTGGAGGGCTGGACTGTGGGCCCTGGGATGAGTCAGCTGCTAAGCAGAACAGGCAGTGGTGGCAAAAACACCAGGTAGGCCGGATAAATGTCCTAGAAGGCTGCATGTGGCTTGTGGGCTGTAGTTTGAGGATGCCTGGTAAAGAGGTAGGGAGGAAAACTAGATAGTGGGTTTTAAAAGGTGAAAGAATAAGCAGTGGGTTCATAAGGTTTAGATATAAGGGAAAGGAGAGACATAGGATGACAACTTGATGAGCTAAAGTTTTGGTATGCAAGTTTTGTAATTTTTCAGTTAAGCACATCAATGAAAGAATATATAGCGAGATACTATTTTTTCAAACAAGATTTTAGAGGAAGTGATTTTAGAATGACTAATCTTACATCAGACAAGTCCAGGATTACAAAATAATGAAACACTTAAAGCAGCAATTCTTGGTGAAATGGGTACAGGGGAGGATGATTTGCACAGAATCTTTAGGGGAACATGTATCATCTTCAAAATTCCAATTTATGTTCCTATAATCATGTCTCCATCTTGAGGGTCCTTATTAAAGCAAACTAAATAAGCAAGCAGAAAATCTGCAAAGCTGTTTGTATTCAAAGAAGAGGACTAAATATCTTAAAAACTATGAACATGACTTTAGATGAATAAATGTTTACCTACTCTGAATTTAATGTTTCTTTGGTATATACAATTATCCAACAATAGCTATATTGGAATGATAATGCCATCAGTCTCATAATGATATTGTTGGATGCCTTCTCACAATTCAATTCCTCTAGGTCCTATCAGAAAATAAAGAAAATAAAAAATTCATTAGGTTGAACAGATATGAATTTAATATCATATTTTAAGAATTTATGATAACTTGAGAAAAGGCATGGGTATGGGCTCCCATTTCATCTAAAAATTATAATCACAGTGGAAATAGTACAGTTGACAAAACAAGTGATAACTTTAGTAAGGAGGGCTCACAGATCTTTCAAGGTCCTAGATAAGAAGAAAGCCTGCAGAGTGCCCCTATTTTGGCAATGCCTTTA